GATTCTATGATTCTATGAATATTTCCTTCTTTGAGTGCTGAAAAACTTTGCAAGGAAGCTTCTTGTTTACTGACAGACATTACTGCCTCAGTATTGCTATATCAACAAAACAGTATAATTACTGATCTGGCTATAGGTGCTGTTATGCTAGGTAGTATGCAAAGATATAACTGAAAGGATGGTTCTTCCTGCAGGGATGTTATAGTTTAAGGTTATGATTTTCTCTTTCTTTTGAGAGGCCAATGCTTTTCTGAATCAGCTGCTTCCTCATTATATTCTGTGGTCTTTAGGTTATTTTGTAAAATGAGATGTGTCCCATTCCTTTTTTGCCTCTTATTCCACTTGACAATTCTGGTATGAGAAGGGTTGATGTTACATTATCTTTACAGGGAAAATTCTTAACCTTTTCCTGTGCTGGCCACATAAGACATATGTATACTCCATTAGCCTCCCTTCTTCCTGCTTCTCTGGAAAGTGATGTCTCTTCATGTTTGTAAGTAGAAACATCCGAATGAATTGGAGGACACTGGTTATTTGACAAAACAATTCCTTTTAATCCACCTATAATTCCCACAGAAAGTAGGATTGAAATCCAGTGAGTCATCTTTTATTCCCTCTTATTTTTTTCTTGGTTTTGTTGGGGTTTTGTGGTGGGGTGGTTTTTTTTTTGTTGTTTTTGTTTTGTTGTTTTTTTTTTTTTTACAAGGCAATTAGTGAGTAAAGTTTGCATTGTCTGTCAGAGATATGTAAAGGGTAATTTGGATACCTACAGCAGTGATGATTGTATGACTGCCTGGACATGCTGTTAGAAGTTCAGATGGAAACTATGGCAACCTGGTAACTGATAGCAGGAAACTCTTGATGCCCAGGCACAGGTTTTATGCTGTTAGCTAGACTAAAGCCTATTTATATTATAGCCATGGTTCTTGTTATAGACAGTGTGCTATGTGATACTTTGGACAAGCTCCTACATAACAACTGAGCCAAAGTGAATTACTAAAGCTCTGAGTCTTCTGCAGGTGCTATTTGACTGAGTATAGCCTTCAGCAAAAAGGATTAAATAAAGCTAATTTACAGTGTTTTGATTAAGGGTAATACACACAGTATGTAGGTCTGTTGAAGTGCCATGGGTATGGCCAGCAGGAAATTGGAGGGCGGTAGTCCAGCTGGGTAATAGGAGTTCCATGTCCTTCCAAAACATGAAAAAGATGCACAGAAGGGTTGTTGCCTGTTATGTTTTTCTACCCAGAGTCATTAGATGCTATGTTTACACTAAGATTTCACAGGGCTTCTCCAAAGGAGTATTTTATGTGGTGCAATTTCTTGGGGAAGGGAATGTCCATTTTTTTAAGAAGCGGTTGATACCTATTCAAAATAATACCTAATCTCTCTCCACAGTGATCCTTTATGACATACAGATGAAAAATTTCCTGCTTTAATCTGTCACCTAAATATAATTCAGAGTCACCAGAGTGTAGTGGTGATCTACAGTTCCCTTTATTATTCACCTTTCTTGGCCTTTTGTGCTTGCAAAGCTTCCATTTGGAACACCGTGTTAATGTTGGAGCTACACTGGCCGAGATTTACCAGTCATTTCCTGGGCACTGAAAGCCATCAAGACTTAGTTGATTTTAATTTTTTTAATAGAAATGGAGCTGTAGATGTCTTCTAGCATTGTAGATAGCTTGAAAACATCAAAGTCTTTTCCTGGAAGAAAACAGCACTGTGCAAATGCATGAGCTGGAGGTTGGAGGCTGCAGCTGGGTTAACTTGTGTGGGCACAAGTGCTCCCTGAATGTAGGTTTAAAGCTTTTGGTCCTAAATTAGCCTGTACAGCAACAGATGAGAGCAAGCAACAATAGCAGTAAGAAATACTTTGAACACAAGTATGGCTTATATTTATGTTAAGTTTAATTTTTTTTTTAAAGGACAAATGATGTCTTGTCTGTAAGCAGTCTTCCTTGATACCTGAGATGCTCTCAGAAAAGTCAGCTATCTTGGTTTAACAGATTATTCACAGGTGTCCTTGTTTGAGGTGGCTGACTATTAAAATCAAACCTCAAAATGTTTATACTTGTATGCCTAAGGTCAAATCTATAGCAAGCATTCCATACAAGTGCCAAGTTTTGCTTCAAGTATCTGAGCAGCAATACTAATATTTAGAGTTAGCAAAATATAATAGACTTAACAGTTCACAACATGCTCATTTTTTACAATTAAGATGGGAAGTTCACTTTGCATCTGTGTGATTATTCACGTGACACAGAAAACATTTTTGATAATACATAAAAAGGAAAGCTGGTCACATCCTCAAACATCCTTTAAACATGCTTATACAGAAGCACAAATGCTATGCAAACCTTTGTTTTATCTTTTTAGATCTCTTCTGATATTAGGGAGACTGTTTGTCATAGTATCCAGCCCTTCTAAAATCCGTACGTCTCAAGTCTCACAGGGGGGTTGGACCTCCTGAGACCTCTACCCCAAAGAGCTTTTACTCAAGGTCCAAACTCTTTAGATATTCATTCTGCCCATCTTGTTGAAGTTATCCTATTGAACCAACAAAAGAAGAAACAAAATGTGTAGCTCCCGCAGGACTCCATTGCTTAAAGAGAAGCCTAAATTTTAGGATGTAACCAAGTAAGAGAATTATCTTTTCTGACCTCCCTCTGTTTGCTTAAAACTCAAATTTTTAGTGTGTATGCTATAAAAAGTCTGAATTTCTTATTCTCCTGTACCACTCCCACCACAGTGGTAGTATTTTTGATAATCAGTGTTATCTTCTGGAATTCTGTGTCATCCTGACAGTGGAAGTAGTGAATCATGTTAGTTTCATGTATATATGTATGATAAATCCATCATGGTAAATGTGATTCTTCAGTGTCCTGTCACCATCAATACACTGTTAACAGTATATTCAGCAGATACCAGTATTGCATAAAGTGGTTGGTACACTATAATAATCTGGTGAACTATATAATGTTTTGATTTATATGTTGCTTGCTTTTGCACCTATATAGGATGGTAAGGAGTCCCTTCTGTGAAGATCTACATGAAGATTCTTTTTTCAAGTGATTTTACTTACTAAATAAAATTGAATTTGGTTGACACAAGTATGTTCTGTGACTCCATGTACTAAATTTGGTTTTCTGATTATTCAACTTGTAAAAACTGGATACCTCATTACTTTTAAAAAATAGAGCAAGGAGAATCTTTACAGTTGATTACACTTTCTTTGTCCAGACACTTTGTAGAAACGGAATTTTATTTTAGACTTTATTTTTTGTGTTTACTTTTTAAACTTAAATGCAAAAGATAATTCTGATCTGTTGAGGTTCTATAGACATCTTCTCTCCCTTTCTTTGTAAGATGCACACATTTGGAAGTAAGTGTCGGAGGCATTGATTTTTCCCTCTAGGAGCACATCACTATCTTCTTAATGACTGCCTGTCTGGCAGCTGATGAGAATATTTTCCTACTGCACTTAAAGAAAAAAGTCTTATCCAGAGCCCACTGAAGTGGTGAGAGTCTTTTAAAATACTGTGTCTTTGGATCCAAACCAAAGACACAGATCTGCTTCCCAGATTGCAACCTATCAAGGCCACCTCAGCCTTAATGCTTTGGAGCACATATGAGGTAGTGAAGAGGTTGTTGTTGTTGTGGCACAAGCAGAATATTTCTGAAAATAACTCTGCAATGCGTTCCCCCTACCCTACAAGCTCGGTAAGGTGGTTTTGACTTTTTTTTTTTAATATTGTGACCATCCAGTATTGCACATAAATGTTTTTACGTCGTTCAATTGCTGACAGTAATTGTACTACATGGTAATTAAAATAATGAAGTGTATCTATTATTGCATAGCTGTACAAATAGAATACCGAAGTTTCATTTTTAGATATTTGTCAGGAGCTAATGTGGCACGTAGATCAATGAGTGAAACAGCAGTATCTAAATGTTTGAAATGTCTTGTATTGTCTTCTCAGGGACCATTTCTGTGAACACACTACGTACACCATACACCGCACCAGGAGAAAGTGAAATACTTGACTTGGATGATGACTTGTATCTTGGAGGCTTACCAGAAAATAAAGCAGGCCTCGTCTTCCCAACAGAGGTGTGGACAGCACTTCTCAATTATGGATACGTCGGCTGCATTAGAGATTTATTTATTGATGGTCAAAGCAAAGATATTCGTCAGATGGCTGAAATTCAAAGTACAGCTGGAGTAAAACCCTCATGCTCAAGAGAAACTGCAAAACCTTGCCTTAGCAACCCCTGTAAAAACAATGGTGTATGCAGGGATGGGTGGAACAGATATGTTTGTGATTGCTCTGGTACGGGGTACCTTGGCAGATCATGCGAAAGAGGTAGGTTCTGTGAGATGGCTGCATTTCTTTTGTATAGAATCCTGAACAATGATTAAAAATGGCAAAATATCATTAACTCTTCTGAGACAGAAAAAAGGTCTTTGATTTCACTTGATGTGAGATGGAGCCCTGCTCTAGACTGAAAGAAGTAACTCTAGAGGAAAGATCTTAAGGCATTTTTCCTAAGAAGCATGAAGAAGTATTAGTTGACTATGACAGAGAGTCACTAATGCTAAATGTCTTCTAGAAAATGTCTCCTTTTGTGTCTCATCATATATTGCTGAGTTCTGAAAAGCTTTGTGAATGTAATTTCATTTATTATTGCATTACTAAATGATCACATTCCAATTTCAAACTGAGTTCTTTCTATGCCTATTTATGTCAGTACCATTGTGTCATTACATTTACTTCTAAATTCTGCAGTATCAATTAAATCCATGGCCAGAACTTCCAGCATGAGTCAAAGCAAAAGAATCAGTGTGGGAATCTATATTTGTTAAATTTTTAAAGATGCTAGTACTCAGGGAAAAAAAATACTTATCTTAAATCACTGAATAGCTCTCTTGCCTAGAAAAGGTAGATATAAAGTTGATCATTCACAGCATCTAGTTGAAAAGGTGGATTGTGGTAAGGACGACAGATGCTGATGTTAGTTTATAGGAAGAAAACTCTAACTTATTTAAAATTACAGAATATGCTAATAAAAAAATTTAATATAAGTAGGAAAACAGTAATATTTTATTCTCAATGGAATAGGAAATGTTTCTGTGCCTGAAGTTGTATTTTTTTCATCTCACAACTGACACGTTACAGTTTCTCTTCAAGCCAAAATCTGAACTTAAAGTTTATTGGCTCAGGACATAAGTTCTTTCCATCTAGTTTGATCGATTTTTCTAGTTAGTAAGATGAAATACACTAGTATTCTTTAAAATTAAAAATCTGTTATGTTTTAAGTGGTATGTAAATAGATGTGCATTTGTGTAGAATTAATACCACCATATTATTAACATTTGCAAGTAGATTCTCAGTTTCTTCTGTTCTTTTCCATCTTATTTTTTGAATACACATGCCTTTGGCTCATGGCCAGTTATTCTGAGATATCCAGATTGTTCTGTTACTGGTGGAGTGAAGCTGGCAGAGGGCATAACCGAGCTGTCTGATGCATTACAAAAGCCTTCAGTTAAACATGTCTGGTGTACCACCCTGTGGCAATATTCTGCTATTACATATGGCAGAAGTAAAAATAGGATTTGCATTTTTTCAACCTGAGCGCTTGGAAACGTGTGTTAGAGACAAAAACACATGCAGGACTGCAAACAACTTAAAAGCAGGCTTCATCATAGAAATTTCTCATAAATAAATTTGACAGGTGGTAATATTTTATATAGAAACTTTTGGCTTATTTATTTCCCATACTTCGTTTTCAACTGTCTTCCAATACAGAGCTTGATTTTTTTTCAGTGTGTTCCCCTGGGGGAACAGTGGTACTATGGTGGTGGTGTTGGCTTCTCTACAATGGTGTTTGGTTCTTGTCCAACAGAAATGTGTGTGGCAGTTCAGACAGTATGGGATCATTTCCTGCTCTTAGGTTTCCCTCTCCAGAGGAAACTACAATGAAAGGAGATCTCTTTCCAGTAATATTCATTTCCCAAATGGTCATGCATTAATAAGATTATAGCTTTTTGGATTCTGAAAGCAACGTGTTGGCATCCTACCACACAAAGTTATGATAACTGCTACCCATGTGCACTAACTGATAAACTTTTGTATTTGGTGATATAAGCAACACAGCTACAATTGTTCAGACTAACTTAAATAAAAAAGAACATGTTCATTTCAACAAACATACAGGCTCACAAAGAAAAGAAAGCATGAGAATTAAATATTGGAGATTAAATAACTGGAATTTTTAACTTAACATTAAGAGATTAAGGTATCTTCAGTAAACAAAAGTATGTAGCTAGTTTTTTAGTAGTCATTTATTTTTCATGATATTTGCCCTAAAATAGGAGTATTAACTTCCATACGTGGATGAATCGTGTCCAATACAGTATTTGAGATAATTTTGGCCACTTTATAAGCGCACAAAAACCATGGACCACAGCTCCCATTCTATTTTAATTTCAGTATACTTTTTTTTATATATTCATGTGCTTTTTATCCTGTTATCTTGATGATATTTTTGATTTTCAGTAAGGTTAAACATCAGTTTAATCTGTAGATTGGCTTTAGTAGATTATGGAAATTACAGCAGATGGACAGACAGATGTCACAGCAATATAATTTGGCTTCTTATATTACTTGATTGTGGATCACAAAATATGATTGCCTCTCAGCAAAGCCTTTTGCAGGTGTGTGCTTTTGACTAGATGGCTAAGAACAATGCACAAGGTTAAATTCATCAGTGATAACAAAAAGTAGGCATGCAAAGAAAGACTTATCAAAGTGATATTTCTGAGGAGAAAATACATTTAAATTCAAGTGTGGACGTGTCCACATTGTGCATGCACACGCACCATCATACATAGATATACATTAAATAATGGAATAAAGCTTTCATTCCTTGCGTTATCTCAGGAGGCTTTAGAATTTAAAAAAAAAAAAACCCACACAAAAAAACCCACAAAAAAAACCAACCCAAAAACAAAAAACCCACACCCCCAACACCCAAACAAAACCAAAAAAAGGTGATAGGATGATATTACAGTAATATAAAAATGTTATAGTAATTCAATCACTGATTTAAATTAACTAATTGGTCCTGTATGTTAAAGTTCTAGCACATTTATACTGTGGTTTATGACATCAGTCCTAAAATGATACCAGTGCAGAAGTTGGGAGGAATCATTTCAACTTCTACTCGCATATTATCTAGTAACTAATTGCATATCAAGAATAGTTGCTATCAGATCGGTGGAAAGGTTCCTCGTGATTCACCAAGGCTGCACTTTGGGCCCAGAGGGACTGAAGTGGCTGCTGCAGAAGACAAGTGCTTCAGTGAGTGTGCCCATGTAAATGGAACAAAACCTGAAAGTTTGAGTTTTAATCAGAAGTCATTGATGTACTTGAATACTCACAGAATTTATAGGAGTAAAATCATATGTATCAGTGGGTGTTTTCAGGGCAGGATATTGTTGCTCTACTTACACTGATAAATAAAACTGGGTCAGAGAGCTAACCTGAATACTTGATAACTGATGATCCAGATTGTTCACATGCTTCCTGGCATGGCTCTGGACTGTATCGTCTGTCACTCTCTGGGCAAAGTTTGTGTGTGGTTTTGGAAACAGCAGACGCAGAAGGCAATTTTTTGCTTTAAAAATGGTCCTGTGGTCTACAACACAGTCGTCATTATTGCAGACACTTTGAAACTGAAAAAGCAGGTAAAAAATAGTAATTCTCTCTTTGGGACTTTAGAGGAACAACTGAAGGTCCAGAGGAAACAAGATCCTGTTTTATTTATTAAAATCCATGCAGTAGGCATCCATACTTACTAAGCATCATGTTGTTAAAAACAACACAAACTTAACTGCTAAACTTAGGAGGAAACCCACTGAAATTCAAATGCCTAAGCCATACTTCTTTCACTTTAAATAAGCTGTGAAGTGTAGAATAGCAACTATTTTGAAAATTCTATTTCTCCCTATAACTATGTGGCTGAGCATTTCTGAGGGCAGAAACTGGTGTAGGAAAATTTCCAGAAGAACAGGTGCCTCAGTCACTTCAGAAATTTAGGTAATCCCAGCCCACGTGAAAATTATGGTTCTGAATCTCCTCTCATATTGGTACTAGTCTGGGCATCCCTCATGAGAGGCACAAGGCTGAATGAGGTAGTATATATATAGGAAGGAAGAGTGTTCAGCCTGGAGATTTTAATCAGAAACAAATTGAAGAAAAAGAAATGGAAAAAGGAACTGAACCCTTCAGTGAGTTTTGTTTTTTGGTTTTTGTTACTTTGTGTTTGGTTTGTTTGTATTTTAGCACAGAAGCAGCAAAGGTATTTGATTGTCAAGCTTGTAAAATTATCAAGGAAAACATGTAAAATAATTTTTAACAAGCTCTGAATTATCTCTCACTGTTTATTTCTTGTTAACTCTAGTACATACACTCACTTGCTGCCACAAAAAAAATTGTCTGTAAAGTTTTATAAGGGTTTTCTGCCACTTTCCTTTTCTATGGTGTGCTGCCAACACTGAAATGGTACTAAAATTATTATTACCTGCCATGGAGACTCTGATTTTTATTTTTTTTAATGAATAGTGTATTCTGAGCTAAACTTCTGGTCTAGTAGCATTTAATCTAATAATTAAGAGGAAGCTGAACAAGAGGAAAGACATTCTGTCAACACTTTTGTGAAAACAGTTAGCAGTGTAAGCTCTCAAAAAAAGATGGGACACACATCCCTTTGGAATCAGTTGGTCCAAATGAAAAAAAATATTAAAAAAATATAAAATATGCAACCATTTTCATGTAGCAACCATTTAATAATGGTTTAACAACAAAAGGCTTTCCTAACACCACTGTTACCAGTAGACTCATTTCAAGTGAATAAACTGAACATAGTTGGGGGTTTTTATTATTTTAGGAATATGTAGTGTCTCCAATCTTCAGTTATGGCTCTCAGGGCAGTGCTAAATTCTCTTTGATCAAATCATCCCTGCTTCCTGCCAGTTTTATGGGTTTTTTTCTTGGTGAAACCTTTGTATTTAGAAAGCCTGTGACTTGAACTCCCTATACTGAAAGCAGCTAGTTAACATGAAGGGGTTTTCTCTTTGCCCCAGAGCTTTTCAGTCATTTGATCTTCTGTTCGGTCTCCTTGGTCTGTTCTTGGAACATCTGTTTCCAAAATAACTGGCACAGTATGGTTTAGGAGGATTGAGTATCTAATCACATCAGGTCTGTTCACCATGATGTTGTGTACTCACAGGTCATCTCTGATTAAATTAAGACAGTTCTTTCTCTCCTTTTTCTGTAATTTTCTAAAAGACTGAATAATTATAGGAAAGACAGAAAATGGTACCAGTGCTGATTCTGACAACTTTCTTTCACATTATCATAATTTATTAGCAACAGACCTATAGTGTTGTTGAATGCTCTTCATTCTATAAAACTTACTTTTTTCTGCCAGATTCCTTTATTTACCCAAATCATGTTTATCTTGATAAAAATCTTGGGATACTTTCATGTACAGACTAGATAGCTAGAAATAGGAATTAATTGTAAGCTCCTGCTTATTGTGTGTGTGTCCCTCCCCCAGGGAAAACAAAAAAACACTCACATACCACACAAAAAAATAAAAAACAATCAAAAAACCCCAAATCACCTCCCACTGAAAACTTTTGACTTGAAATATCTTATCAGGTTGGTGAGAATTAAGTATCTAATCTGCTTCACACAAAAATTTGAGGTTTAGGATATGCAGAAAACATTATTACTTGCATGAGTAGAAATCATCAAACCCGTAAATTTATTCTTCTAACCTGTGACATCTAGTGACTTTCACACTAGTGTTAGTAATCCCTTTTTTTCAAACATCAAACTGTTTTCTTGAAATTTGTATTGGGGAAATCTGGAATTATTAATGAACATACCATCTATCATTTTTGCCTCCAATAGGCTCACAAAATTATTAGAACATTTTGTCCTTCCATGGTCCGTGTAGGATGGAAGTCTTGAAGAGATTATCTGTTTTAACAGTATGCAGGATATGCGAGGGAAATGGTTTTGACAGTGTCATAAGTATTGATGTTTAAAGAAATGATTCTAACATTGGTTTAGTTATGCTGCTGGTTAAATATAGTACCAGTTGTATAGGTCCTTGAAAATATTACTGCATGTGGGACCCCAATACAGCTTTGCTGGAGATGAGTGTCTCCATTACACTGTAGCAAATTAAAGAGACAAGCTTCCTGTAGGTGTTTGCTGCTGTCTTCTCTTTCCGCTTTTTGCTTGTTTGGCCTGATATTGGGCAAGTAGCATATTTTTTTTTCTGTGAGTTGAGGTGCTCTCAGGATTGCCTATTTTTCTAAGAAAGATTCTGTAGCATGCTGTTTAGAACTTACAACTCTTCAACTAAAAACTGAAGTTTAGAACTTTAGGACATCTACCACTTCAATACTTTATATTATTGAGAGGTTTTGGGTTGGTTAAAGAATGCTGGAGACACATGGAAGAAGTCAGAATGTCCCTAGTGAATTAGCGGTAGGTAAACAATCAGATGTGCATATAAAGGGCCCATTCAGATAGTGTAATTTGCTATTCGAGTAGTAGTTTTAGTGATGCAGTAGGGTTAGTTTTGTACGTTACCGCACAGCCTACTGAAATTCCTGGTGTTTTACCCGCTGACTGTTGGCTTGGAGTAAAGGATGTTGCTCCTCCACTGCCACAATGTGCCAGTGTCAATGAGTCGAAGAGCTGTTTGCTAAGACTGTAGTGGTTAACCAGCAGCAATGCTTGATCGTCCTGTAAAAGAGGACTTTCTAACATGTTTCAGAAACACGTGTCCTTTGCTTTCTAGGAAATACTGTGCCTCCTTGTGAGCAGATATGCAGTCTTCCTGCTACCTTTCTTGTTACCAGCCTGGAGGCTGGGAAAAGAAGACTTGTGGCTGGTTGCTCTTGGGTCTAACAGACTGTGACCGCTCTGTGCCAGAGCCACTCGCCGGGAGGGTTTCCTGTAATGTCTGAAAGTGACAGTTATTTGCTCGTCTCAGGGGTTTTAAGATCTTACCCTCAATATGCCAAGTCCAGTCTCGATCTTCTGGCTGAGGCTGTCGTAACATTCGTACGTGCAGTTTTGATCCTATCGTACTGCAGTCATCGTTGTGGAGCAATCTGCGCTCTGTCCAAACCACGCTGGGGTTATTTACCCATTTCGGGTGGCTTTTTGCTAACTGGATGGTACTTGTAACTGTGGTAGTTGCAATACTGGTAGGTTTACACATGAATAATCCTAAGGTAATTGTCTAGGTGGATGATAGTCAGACATGACCATTTAATAGGCTGTAAGGTTTACCTGAATATCTTTTACTGGCTTTGACCTATTTTCAGTAGTACAGGTCTAGCCTTGTAAGCTTTTCTTTGCATGTGATTTTACCCATCTGCTTGCAGATGCATACATGAATGGCTGGTTCAATAAAGAACAGTTTAGTTTCTTTAAAAAGCACCAAAATATGCCACTTTAAAAAAATCAAAATAAAACCGAATTAAAAAACCAAACCCAACTTTGCTTATGTTTCCTAGTAATAAGTGATATGTAATTTTTCTGCGTCACACTGAGTGAATATACATTTACCATCTTCTATTTGAACAGTTTCAGTGAATACAATAATAATTCTTTAATAACCGTTTTTCTCCTTTGTGTTTTCAGAGGCGACAATTTTAAGCTATGATGGAAGTATGTTTATGAAAATACAGCTCCCTGTTGTGATGCATACAGAGGCCGAAGATGTTTCTTTACGGTTCAGGTCTCAGCGAGCTTATGGCATTTTAATGGCAACTACTTCTAGGGAATCCGCAGATACCCTTCGTTTAGAGCTGGATGCGGGACGAGTTAAACTAACGGTCAACCTAGGTAAAAAAATGTTTCCTCCAAGAAACTAGTATTTTCTTTACATTTTTCTTTTTGCTTGCAAACATTTATGAAACAGCCTGTTTTAACATTAAAAGTAAACTGAAACGATATATAAACACATGTCAATGCAGCATTTGCGTATGTATGTACACACAAATACATGCCCATTATTACACTTTATTTTTTTCTTTTGCATTTTTGTATTCTTTATGTAGTCTTACCATAATCCATCACAATATTTTGGTACTATTGTGTATTCTAAATAGAGAAGACTAGTTCATCAGTGGTATTTTTGTGCTAAATTATTCTTCTTCGTTGTGGAAGATTGGTCTCCCTCCACAACTTGACAAGTGGAAACAACGTGTATGTAGGTCAGTTCCGTTTTACATCCCCAATTAAAGTACAACATGTGAACGTATCACAAAATTTCTAGCTTGAACACTGAAAATGCTACAACTAGATATTCCCACTGATGGATTTCTTGGTCTCCTCTTTTTAGTTGTCAAATCTATAGTAAATCCATCTCCTCTTTTTTAAACAATTCTGTAGTGGTATTTTTGTAGTATCGAACGATAGCACAACCCTTCAATGCCCAAAGACTGCGGCCCTCAGCAAACAGCCGTGCGAACACAGGAGGCACAAGCCCTTTTACAGAAAAAAAACAAACCCTGATTTCCTGTTTTGAAATATGATGGGCAAAATGTTAGGTTATGGTGGTTTTGTTTTGGTGTTTGTTTTTTTTTTTTTAAAAAAAAGGTAAATAAATAAAAGTGCTTCTGCTGTGCTTATGACTAAGTCTGAGTCAGGACCTGAAAGAGAACAGAAGGATGCTCAGGAAAATGCAGATTCTGTGCAGTCTTTTCCATTCAGTGGAATGCTATTTTAAAGGGAATTATTTTATCATTTTAATCACGGATAAGATGATTTCCAGGATGGGGGTAGGAAAAAAAGAAAATAATCACCTAACCCTCCATTCCATAGAAGTGTTGCTCACTGAAATACTGCCCTGGTGTTTAGATTTCGGACGGGAGAAGGGGAAGGGAAGGTTTTCCCTGGTTTCCTCTTCTCTTCCAGTCCCCTCTAGTGTCGAGTCGGGGCTGCTGCAGGCGCGGAGCCCTCCCGCGCCTTTCTGTAAAAGGGGGTGTGCAGGGCTGGTCCTTGGCTGTTTGCAACCACTTTTCTGATGCGGTTGACGACACATGACAAACTCAGCTATATGGAAACAAAATCTAGGTTTGATGGTATATATGTTCCTCAAAGGTATAAAGCAGGAGCAGCTGGACAAAGCGAGTAGCGTGGTGTAGGTATTTTTACAGTAGTCAACGCAGGTAGCCCAGCAGAAGATCCTGCTGCAGGTCAGGTCATTCTCTTTACATAAACACCACCCTCTGTCAGGTTTTGCCTACTTCTGTAGTTCAAGAAAGTAAATAAATCCATGCCCTAGAAAGATTGTTTCTTCCTCCAACACCCCTCCTTTTTTATTTTTCTTTTATATAATTATTTTTTTTTAAGTCAAGCAAGGAAATAATCTGAAAATGGTCAGGATTCTCTATTAGCGTTTAAAAATATCGTATTATTTTCTGTATATTAATGATTACTGTAGCTTTAGGTGTAGTCACTGCTCATTTCTTAAGTTTAGGCGCTAAGAAAAGGTAAACCCATAAAAACTTATTTACAGGCTGATGAGCTTTGTAATTTCACTATTTAGCGTTTGAAGATCCGCCTTTGAGGTATACTATACACAACTTGTCCAAGGTGTCTGACTGTGGCCGGGCTTGCTCTATGACCCATTGTGACGGAGCACTTTCTAATTGCATTGAGAGAAATTACCTGTTCTTTCACAGATGGGGAGAAAGTTGCAGCCTGCCTCAGTTCGGCATCTTTGACATTTAATCCTAATTTTTCACTTAGATTTGTCACCATGTAGCTTTGTTTGAAATTGGCCATTTTTACCCTATTTGTCGTTTCTATTTACAAAGATTTATCGCAGTATATCTGGGTTATAACAGTATGTAAAGACTGATGATATGGAGTGGCCATATTTGCATGTGTCTGTCCCCAGAAGGGTGGACTGTGATTTTATTGGATGTCTGCAGCTGTTACCTTGAAGGATAAATTTTCATTTTTCATCTATTCTTCCCCATCTAGACTGTATCAGGATTAACTGTAATTCCAGTAAGTGCCTATTCAAACTTTTTAAAATGTTATTCCACCAATATAAAATATGCAAACTAGATGAAATTTTTCTGGACAGCTTGCAAGCGCTTGATAACTTATTAATGAAATGTGATGATTAATTATCATTGTGTAAAAAGTCATCATACACTCTAGTGTATATTTTTTGTCCTTCCCATGAGTTATAACTTTTAACTAGAATATTAATAAAAGGAAGTATTCTACAGGTGGTAAACATACATAGTGGAAATGGTACCTGTAGTACTGTATTATTCTAGATTATTTTATTTACAGTAGCCATAGAATTTTTGAACCGGAATTTCTGATAAGCTGCCACATATTTTCTCCCATGTCGTCCTCCTCCTAATTTTCTTGACATTTTACCTCTGACTTGTCGTGAGACTCTCGGAACATAATTGTCCCTAGCACAAGAATTTCTATTTTATAATCCTCCTAGACAACTGTATTTACTGGCTGCTTATAACACAATTGGTTTTGCTATATCTTTGGTTTTTGGAAATGTAATACATTACAATAAGGACACTATTAAGTCTGAGAAACATTTCTATGATGATTTTTTACACACAAATCATGTAAGAAACCTTAAATTGAACATTTTTTCTCTATGATATGCATGTTTATGAAACAGAGGGAAACATTTGCCAGATGAATGGACTAAATTTTAACTTCTCTGATATTATTTGGATTAAGAGGCTATATTCTGAAAGGAGAAAAAGGACTGTGATTTTATTTTGAGTCTATGGAATTCCTGAATGGTGTCAACAAAATAATTGATAGTAAGTATGGTAGGTTTGAGTTTTGGGTTGTTTTTTTTCTTTCCTTTCCTAACAGGTTTTGCAGGCCAGAGGACTGGCTGTGTGCAAATAGAAATAAAGCTAATCAACAAATTGTGCAGGTAGAAGTTTTAGTTGTTAATAATTCTTGAGGCAAGATTTTAACCTAAACCATGCTTAAACCAGACAGACTTTTCCATACAGTAAAAGAAATGCTTGTAGGTACAAAGGCATAAAGATAGCTTCCTTGCATTAAAAAAAAAAAAAGTTCAGTTATAAAAAACAAATATTTCTCTTTGCCAAAAATATCCATTGTCTGTTACCAAAACGTATAAGATCCTGAAAAATCTCAGAAACATTGTGTTAGTCAGTACCAGGACACTTTTTTTCTCTTGATGAAGTCACAATTAAAATTTTCAAGTATAAGACAAGAAGCTTTTTCAGCAGAATTGCAATGACTTTGCCAGCTGCTGATAAATTCCTTTTCCCTAGGAAATGCAATATTGCTTTTTCCTTAACTTCCTTAATAAAACTAGAAAATCCCTCTCAAAAGGGAATTAACTAACATTAAAAAAATCAGTAATAAAGCCACAATACAATAGGTGTTTTGGTGTTTTAATCTCTCTTGGACAAAATGAGGTGGCATAAAAAGAAATTGATTTCTAGGTTCCATTTTTAAGCAAGTTTTACATTAACAGAACCTGCAAATATGAAGTAATAAGCCTCCAATTAAAGGATTGTAAACAGAAAAAATATATGTACTGAATCGAATTAGCAGTTACAAGTTCTTGGTCTCATAGAGAAGCAGTATGAACTCTGTACAAAATATCCTTGGTATCATATACTCATAAGTTATTTTTCTTTACAGTTTGTTTAGAGCCTTTTTGTATTAGAAATGAACTTTTGTGATTAGTTCCATCTCCCTTTCGTGCTTGTATACTGAACAGGTTTTTGTGAGCTTTCAGTATGGTAAGTACTACAATGTTTTCTTATCAGCACTTGCTGTAGTTTTTCAACAACCAGATAACATTTCAAAAGCATTTTCTGTGTCTTAATTTTTAGATTATGAAGAATTATTGCTTTAAGCAGTCCTTAGAAAATGCTTGCTTATTAGACAATATAATGGGGTTTAGTGGAACACAATGTGTTTTAAAGCAACAGCATCCAGAACTTGAATCTTAATTTGCTATATGCTGTAATAGTTCAGTGCCTATCTTTTTCCTCTACTCACACCTGGATTTGTATCACTCCTGATTTTTATGTTGTTAGAAGTAAATCTGGTTTTCATGTTTGAGAAGTTGTTTTCAGATTTTCCCATTTCTGTTGCTTAGAAATTAGTCATCTTGATATAATTTCACTGTTGGGACTGAGATATTGTTTGTCATAGCCAGGCTGGTAACAGAGTTAAGGTCAGGATGAAGCTATCTGTTTTGAATTTGGAGAGATGTCTTTAAAAAAACGTAAACCCAAACATAAACAAAAATGGTGTTTTTCTTGAGAAGAAAAGGAAAACATAAATGTAAGCACCTTATTTCCCACACTCAGTTACAAAGGTAGTGAATAAAATACTGCATCTTCTCCTCCCTTTTTAACTTGAGTACAACCTCAAATCTGTCTTGGTCTCACTGCAGACCAAATGGCCATCTGTTGGCTGGCCAGAGCTGAGATTTTGGTAGCAATTTGCTCTACATTTTGTCATGCCTTCACCTGTAGCTAAATGTCCTGTGTTGCAGAAGAGGTGGCATTTTGTGGTCTTCCTTGTTTGAAATACAGTCTTTTTTAAAATTTCAGAGGGTTAATCAGATGTCAGGTTGCCACTGAGCTTGTGTCTCATTAACAGCATTATGGAGACTGTTAATTTCTTGCCATTTTTATGGAACTGAGTGGCATACTAAGGTCAGACTTATTGATTTGTTCTAGGTTAGAAGATTAGTATCTTCATAAAACCCTACACCACTAGAAATTTGGTCTCATGTCAATCAGAAAATACCATTACAGAAATGTCAGGTTTGTGTGCCCTTAAATCACTTCATTGTGTTCTTCAGACCTGCAAGTTTACAAAACAAAATTATCTGTCAGGCAGTGAAATAAATGATCCTTTTAAAGTGCAGGTACATTTAGGTCAATGTTGAGGCTGACATCAGGAGAGAGGGGAAAACTTATGTTATAAACAGAAACAGCTACCATAAGTTCAGTATTAGTTTTCACAGACTGGGGAACTAATTTAAAAATAAGACTGAGGTGAACAGTGTTGGTTCAGAAAACCAGAAATGCAGCATTTCTTGACACTAGTCATTCTGTAAAAAGAAGTTGATTGCTATACAGCTCATATATTGTGTGTAAAGTTGATAAATGAATTCTTAAAAAATTGCCTAAGAAATGCTAATGAAATAAAATATATATATTTTTTTCCCTTTCAGACAGGGAAGTAAGTGTTACCTTTTAATTGCAGACTGTCCAGCATAAATGATAAACATCAGTGAATCCAAATTGAATGGGATTTTTCCCCAGTATTTCTTAGTGACAGAACTTCATCCCATAAAATTTACATGGCAGATCAATAACAGTTTTTGAATGACTTGTGAACAAACACAGGTGTGCTGTATTTCCATACTTCACTGCTGCACTGTTAAGGGCTACTATCTTGACTTAATTTAAATGCCCTTTCTTTACAGTTGTAATGCTTCCAAAACATTAGTATCTGAAAAAATCCAGGCACCTGTAACTCTAAGGGCTGCTGGGTTTTATGTGCAGTATACTTTTTTCCCAGATATTTGCACTTACATGTTATTTCATCTTTGTGGGGTTTTTTTACTGCTGTAATTTCTGAAAATAAACTGTCCACATTTTTATATTAGTCCGCAGACTAGAACCATAGAATTTTATTAATTGACATATTATACAAATAATAATGTTAACTGTTTAACTGGTAAATTGCTGGCTCTCATTTTTGAATCTGATATTTTTGTTCATTATGAAAAGGTATGGGGTAATACATTTTTTGAACGCTGCTATGAAAGATTGCTCAGATAGTGGCACACGCTGGTGTGGAAGTGATTTAGGCCAGTTCTCTGAAACAGTTTTGCCTCTGTAGACAATAATTCAGTTAAATGTAGGGCTGCCATAAGAAATCAACAAGAATTGCAGAATGTTAGGAAGCAAGGAGCAGGGTGTACTGTGGCAGTATATGTGTATATCAATGGGATTTGCTAGCTGGGTGTCCGTCCTTCCAAATTAGGAACAATTTCTTGGGCTTTGAGACTTTTCTGTTTGTCCTTACAGTGAAGCACCCCTTCACGCGTATTTGCATGCACCCATCCTTCTGTGTCTACAGAGTTCTTCATCCGTTCTCTATATCCATTATTTTTTTCCTCTCATTTTCTCTGTCCATTTCATTTCTCTGTTTTTCCATGTAATCCATATTGTCCTTTCCTTGCTTTGTACCTCCATCCTCTTAAACCTTTGCTGTTCTGCAGATGTGCATGCTACAGATGATTAAATTGAATTGCTCCGTTTGGCATATGTAACATCTGCTACTGAGGCATTTTTTCTTGTCAAGGTATCCTACGAATCCAGAGCGCGACAAGGAGCTATGTCAGATTATTGGTAAATAACAGGAGAATTATATGCATTGAAGAACCAACAAGGGTGTTCAGTTTGCACATAGATTTTAAGCAGCAGGAAAGCTTAAATGAAGGCTATACGTCCTTTTGAAAGTTACTGCTTGTAAAAATGCATTTTGTGGCAAATCCAGAATCTTTAGCTGCGCTCTTATGCATATTGCAAAATCTACTGTAATGAGCAAATCACTAATACATTTCCATGTGTTAGCTTCTCGCTGTTTGGTGTAAAGAATCATTAGGATTTATTATTTGTTCCTTTTTTGTTGTTGTTGTTGATGGTAGAAAATCATTTAAATGATTCAAGATTATAGCTTCCCCCAAAATGTAAGGTTTTGTACGTGGTCTGTTTTTCTTACACAGTGCTTATGAATTGTGTGAGGTGAACTTTCTCTCGTTCAGTACGGCTGACAGACTGCTAAACATATGTAAATGTTCTCTATCATAAAGGACATACAGCAAATTGGCAGGATACTTTCACTTCAGGTTCAGTCAGGGACTCCCCTCTGTTTGAGGTGTAAAGTTTGAAATATTTATAAAATATTATTTTAAAGCTTTGGCTATACTTTGCAGATTTAAAACATCG